AATAGAGATAGAATGAAGCATGAAATGAATGAAGAATAAAAGATGAAGTGTGGTACCAATGTCCTCCAGCAGTCTAAGCATAACTGCAGAGATAGCTCAGGATAACCCCAGCCACTCTAACTATAAGCTTTATCAAAAAGGAAAGTTTTAAGCCTACCCTTAAAAGTAGACAGGGTGTCTGCCTCAGGGACTAAAACTGGTAGTTGGTTTTACAGGAAAGGACTCTGACTCTGATTATTTTCCTATATTTTAATCATGTAAGACACTTTGCTTTGTCTTTGTACTGAATTGTGCTATACAAATAAATTTGCCTTGCCTTGCCTTGATAACTAAAAGATGTGCCTATAAAATGTTCAAATCTTTCTAAGAGAATATTATGATTGACTGTATCAAATAGAACACTGAGATATAACAAGACAAGAACAGATAAGTCCATTATCTGAGGCCATGAGAATATCATTAGTGAGTTTCACCAGTGCCTGTTTCAGTGCTATGATGAGCTCTAAAACTAGTTTGAAACTCTTGAAAAAGTTAATTATGGTGTAATTGGTAACACCCTTGTTTAGCAACAATTTTCTCTAGTATTTTACATAAGAAAGGGAGACTAGATATAGATATATGTAGGACTATAATTGATCAAGTCATCTTGGTCAAGAGACAATTTAATTACAGCTAACTTAAAAGCCCGAGGTACATATCCCTGTATCAGGGATAGGTTAATCACATCGAAAATGGAGGAGGAAATCTGAGGGAAAATTTCCTTCAATAACATGGTTGGAACTGGATCTAACATAAAAGTTTAAGGCTTAGATGTAGATAGAAGTTTTTCTAGCTCTGTAAGTTCAACTGAATCAAAGCAGTCTAATCATGATTCAGGTTCTATAGTTACCTCAGATGCTGCCTCAACTTCCAGAGATAAACCAATCATATTTAGAGGGTTGACAACTATCTTATTTCTAATAGAATCAAACCTATTTTTAAAGAATCCCATGAAATCACTACTGCTAAGAGCAGGTGGAATGGATGGTTCAACAGACCTATGGCTCTGGATGAGTTTGGCAACTGTATTTAAAATATATCTGATATTATTCTATTCTCTTCTATTAATGACAATAAATAACCTCCTCTTGCTTCCTATTCTATTCTATTCTATTCTATTCTATTCTATTCTATTCTATTCTATTCTATTCTATTATGACATGTCAATTACAACAATGGTGTATATTTCATGCCCACCAGGGAGCAGCATAAACCAACCCACTCTTGACCTTCCATCTATTTTTATCAGGGCCCAGCAGGTGTCAGGTTCCAGAGGCTATTTCTTCTCCCTTCAGCCCACCAGCCTCGCCATGTTGTCAGGGTAAACCTGTTGCCCCGCTTTCACTTCTTACGACAGATCTTAACTTTAATAACTTTAATAGATCTTAAATTTAATAGTAGCGGTGTCAGCTGTTAAATTACCACCATGTCGAGTGTTTCTTACCACATCTCCAGCTTGTTGGAGAAAATGACATCAACTGACAAAGATTTCAGGTAAAGTAAGAGTTAGTCAGCAGTTCTGGAAGTGACATGATGACCCATTTAGTCTGTCTGATGTCATGTGAATGCTATTTTGTCAAAATGTTGACATGTTTGCACTACTCCCAAAGTAAAACCTGCTTGTTTTTATATTTTTTCCTGGATCTATTGTGTATATAAACTGCTCATACAGTCTCTCTTATTCAGCAAATCATGTGATGCTGTCAATCAGCTAAATCAGAGGAAAAAAAGTCAAGTTCTTCAGCAGTATATATATTTAAAAAAAGCTAAATGAAGTACAAGACTATTCTGAATATTTATACACCACAAAGAACCTACCCCTTGGCTATTCTTGGCAAACTGTAAGTTTTTTTTTTTTTTTTCCCCTTTTTCTTTTTTTTATGTATTGATAGCAGTTTTATATTGAATCAAATATTGATACCCTTTTGTCTTAAACATATTTACTTAAAATTCATGTGCGGTTCTAGACAGGGGCCAGGATCAGTTCTACAGGGGCCAGCAGGGGAACTGGCCCCAGCTGGCCCCTGTAGAACTGGTCCTTATTCTGACATTAGGATCAACATGTAATACCAACATTTTCTTGGTAGCAGTTGTTATAGGATAACAATGCGGCTTAAATGTTTTAATATTAATTCATTGGAAGAAAAAAAAAGGAACAATACCTGTGAAATACTATGTGCTTCTTTTAACTGCACAGAATAGCACTCAAAAATATAAATGAAAAGTGTAGAGACAGTGGCTATTTTTCATACCTTTACAGAAGTAAGTGAGATCAGTGGTTAAGACTGGTTTTAAGTGTCGGCCAATCACTGATCTCCAAAATAAAGGAAACCTGGGCCAATAAACTGGTGCACCCCTACTTTCCATCTGCTATACCTGGGATATCCACACCCACAACTGGCTTTTTAGTTCTGATTCTCACTTAATACACATTGATCTGTGGCCCTGTTTTTTTGCAACTTGCTTTTTTTTCTGTGCCCCTTTGAAACACCACTGACTCCAATCCGGCCCCATTAGCAAATTTGACCTGGAACTGCCACTGTTTAGATTATTTCAATAGATTGTTGTTAGTCCCAATTTTTTTTATGATTTTCTTATGCATTTGTATGCAGATTATTTACCCTTTTTTTTTCTTAGACTGATTCTTAATTTTAAATATGTGAAGCTTGCCTGGAAAGATGATAACTACATTACTCCCACTGCCATTGTGTCAATATACTGCTTTACATTAGGACTAACACGATCTAGTTTATTTAAATTCAAAGAAGTTTTTTTTTTTTTTTTTTAAACAACTCTAGTTTGTCAATCTGATCTTTTGGATATCCCTATATTAGCCTGACTAATGTCCTGACTAAGTAAGGTTTGTGATGCTTATCCTTATTTTGTTAATCCGTTCCATACGCTATCATGAACTCAGAGCAACTATCCTCTTCATTTTTAATAAAATGCATTCTCTTTAAATAAACAAGATCTCACCTTGTTTATTTATGCATTATTCTTGTCACATAATAACAAGAATTAGGTCATGTTTGGACCCTTCAAAAAAATAACATGTCAGAATATTTGGGATACTTATCATCATTTGTCTTTCTCTGGTGATAGATTGAGGTGTTTCACTGAGGTTTGTCATACCAAACTAATAACTGCGTCCAGCATAGGCCAGTTAGAACAAGAGCAGAACAAATAGCTTAAACTGACAATCAAGAAAACAACGTATGCTCTAACAAACAAATGATCAAACTGTGTGGGAAAATAA